AACCATGGTTTTGATGGGATTGTTTCTTGCACCTGCTATTTGAAACATATTCTTTATAAGAATCACACCACATCTTCTGGATATCCTTTTTGATACTCGTGATACAATTGTCAACACAAATGTATTGTGTCGCGAAATGTTGTTCAGCAGCTACTTGTTTTGCCAAAGTATATCTACAGCTTCGTTATATTTAATCCGTGTGCAGTGTGTGCCTTGGCCCAGATGAAAACAACGTCCCTACCTTCACTTCTCAGCCCTCGAAGCTTTTGTTTAATGCTACCTAATATTGGGTTCATATTATATAAATGTGTCAAGCTAGACTGCAACGATTTTAGGACAGATAATAAGTCGGACACAATAACCATATTATCATTTTGCGCAAGATCTAGGCTTTCTAAGATGGCAAATGCCTCAGCGAAAAAGATAGAAAATATGATAGGGAGCTTGTACCTCATTTCAAGTTCCTGACATGAGACTAAGACTGCACAATCCGTTCCATCTGGTTATTTAGAGCCATCTGTATATACGACAGAATCGTTGTCATATCGATCCAGGATATCAGACAGTGTACACTCATTCACTATATAATTTTCGCCATATTACGATGCGACTCAAATCTATAATATTCAACTTCTGGAACTTTTTTGTGCATCCCTGTAAGAGGGGCCAACATCAATATCCGGGAAGTGAAATTAATTGTCAACCTTACTATTTGTGTGTATTACTCGTATTTACTGTGAAAAGGCACGCATACCGACTAAATATCTACCTAACTGTGTTAAGAAACTATTTACCTTATTCCAAGTTTGAAAAACAATGCAAGCAAAACACAAGAAGAGTTTGACCAACGTCAACAACGGTTTATTAGGAACTTGGACAATCTGTTTGATATTGCGCAAGCCGACGCCCTTCAAATGATAAAAATAAATGAAGATAGGATCTTCTTGCAGCGACAGAGAGAGAGGTCGACCTAGTCATTTAGCTGGGGTGGACATGAAATCAACCATAAAAGAAGGAACACCGAAGAACAAAAGTGGCGAGCTAAATGTGTTGCTTCCTCAACTCCTTCGACATCGTCATACGAACCAGTGCAAGAAAATTCATCTTTAGATTCCAAGACAGATTTACAAGAAACTTTGCACATCTCAACTCAGAGCACACAGCCTGATACTAATCAAACTCAAATGAGGAAAAGTTTCATAACTGTAAAATTAATGGCAGCATTAGATAAGTGTCAGTTAAGTATGAGAAATGCTGTTTGTATTATTGAAGCAACCATTTAGGCACTTGGACATAACACTGAAGGGTTTCCTGTAAGCATGTCCTCCATTCGAAGAATTGATACCGGATACTGTAACTGTCGACTGGGATGGCACATTTTTGTCACCTTTAAATACAAGCAAATCTAAAAACGAAAGTCGATGGATAAAGTAAAGACCAACTTATCGCTGTGCCCAAATTGTATGATTCTTCAGGCAGCGAGCAGGCTGAAGCAGTTTGGAATGATATTATTGACTGAAATCTTGAAAATAATGTTCAGATTCCCTATTGTGATACTACTGGGTCACATAATAAGGGTCGCATTAACGGTGCCTGCGTGCTTCTTCAGAAATGCTTGTTTTCTCGCCGCTATCACGCCTTCGAATTGGAATTAGAAGGCGTGTTTGAATCAAAGATCGCACATGTGACTACAAGCCTTGACATTCCAATGTTAAAAAGTTTCGCGAGAGCTGGAAAAGTGTGGATCCCGAGAAAATACCGAAAAGCTATCATACCTGAATATGTCAGAGACTGACAAGCTGCTAGAATTTTATCAGCATGAATTGACCAAAGAAACTGCTAGGCACGACTATCGAGAATTAGTAGAACTTTCAATAATATTCCTTGGCGGAGATACAGAAAAAACGTTTAAGATGCCAGACGCCATGAAAAATTTCTCTTGGGACGGGATTCGAACCCGCACAGCGCACGACGACTGATCAGAGGCCGAAGAGTCTACGATGACTTTGTTTCAATCAACGACGATTGTCCAGCTTCATGGCCACATAATGATTCCTTTCAACACGCTAAGGAATAAGCTGCAAACACTAAGAGCAGTTAACGACACGGAAAAAGATTTACATTGCTTAATCACTGCTGATGAGGAATAAAAACCAATCTTTATTACATTGCGTACAAGTACACATACATGGATGCCTTGTTAACTTTCAAATTCAGAGTTTAACCGTAATCGTTCCCAAATCACAATCATATTTATTTGTTGAGTTGTTAGACTCAAATAGAAAACTTAGAGGATATGCGTATCTCAATTCGACCAAAAATGTCTTTGCCCTCATAGGATGGGACACCCTAACCCTGGTGCATTGTGATTAGGAGCTTGAACAACCTAAAGTCAATAGTCGAGTATCGAAAAGAAAGAGAGCAGGGAAGCACATTGCACGCTACTGGTCAACGCAACATCTCCTTGATTAAAGCGGGATACTCACGCTCCGACTTTGTCAATTCAAATGAACGCCATGTCGCGATGTGTTCTGCTGCTCTCTTCCTTTTCGGTACCAGGATAGAGTATAAGCCAGCGGTAAATCATGCGTGATTTTGGAACTATTTCATTGGTAAATCAACTTTAAAAACAGCTGTATCACATAAACCTAATGTTGAATGTACCTTTGTACCTACCATACATGAAGAATTTACGACTTTTTTCAATCACTAAAATTACGACCCAACAATTTCATACAACTACGTTTCTGAACTACATTGGCGTTGAAAATACTATTATTTCGTTTAAAAAGTTTTCTGGTGTGGCGGAAATACACAAGCTTCCGAGGAGAAGAGGAGGGTAGATCGTTCGGAAGTAATTCAAAAAAATATATTGGAAACAGTAGTTAGGAACTTTCACACACATGGGCGTGTAACATTGTATCGAGTAGGCTTTAATACAGAACGATAAAAAAATAGCGGCAATATGTCTTAGCTTTTTGTCTACATGAAATTAGAAGGTGACAATTTTTCACATAACCTCTTCCTTGATATGCGTTATGAAAGTTATGTGACATGATATGATCAAAGCCATTTGATTTGTGATCAAGAAATGGACTGACAAAAATTGCCCAAGAGAGGCAATCTCGGCAATATTATTTACGACCGCGTTTCTCAACCGGTGGGGCGCGTTTCCCTAGGGAGGCGTCTCAGTATTGAAGAGGGGGCGCGAGCATATAAGTAAAAAAAATACTAACAACATTGAATAATCTACTAAAAGCAAAGAAAAACTAAATTCTGACAACCAAAAATAAAATACACATTAACACTGATATAGTAGTACACCTGTAAACATGACAGTATCTATCAATACTAAATTAAAAACAAGTTTAATCATATTAATTGTAAAAAATAGTAATAATTACTAGTGACGCCTCTGGGCCTGCGTTGCCGAGGAAAGCTTTTCGACACAGGGTTATTATTTGAAATAGACACTCTGAGTTCTTTTTCAATATTTAGCTGAGATCTATATTTGGTGTCATATTTGGTGATATAGAAGACCAAGATATAGGCTCATCACGAACAATCCAACGATTTTTACTCCAGGTGTCCAAATAGTTACGCACACGATTATGATAATGCGCATCAGGCGTGCCGTCATGTTGGAAGTACATATCGTCGCCTAAATATATACGTTAAACTGCTAACTCCATTTTCATCACTTTGGTGATATTTATCTATTTCACAACTATGACTCCTTTTCTATCATACCAAAACTAAATGTTTGTCAAGTTCGTACGAAAACTGATTGAAAAGCCATGATGAGTAAAGCTGCTAACTGATCCCCACATCTTATTCATCGAAATGCTGCTATCTCCAGTCAAAACAAAGTGACAGATGCACGTGTGCTCCTCAAACGCTCTTCAGCTCTAGAATAAACGTGGCTTCTTTTTGAAATATCACAGACATTAGTTTCTTGTTCCGGGTAATACTTTTTGATGAAAGGTAAGTTTGATTTTGTAAAAATATGTTTATTTTGGTTTATAGTAAACAAAATTACCGTTATGTTGGAGCGGCAGCTTTTCTCTTAAATTACGTTTGGGCGTATTTGGGAGATATTACTATTTATTAATGTTTAACTGATTTCTTGAGTTAGCTATTGGTGTATGAGTGTGCCATTTTTTTATTTTTTGAAGAGCAATCGGTTACCAATATAATGGTTTGTTGACCTACACTACCGGCGTCTAGGTTAGGTTGCATACTAGCATATTTACATCGTAGTCGTACGTCATATAACTGTACGCTGGCGCTGTGGACGTGATCGAGGGTCAGGACCGTCTTTGGTTTGATTCAGGTTTGATTGAGTTTGCGGAGCTCAATATCTCGGTTATCTTAAGAGATTGATATATATGAAAATCTGCTTATTTTCTCAATGTCTACACGTCGTATAAAGGAAAACCCTAACTTTGCGGGCAACCTGTATAAGGCTCATATATTAAACAAAAATGAGGTCAGAGCAGAAAAACAAAAGGATCTGGAAAACCAGAAATGCGTATTTACTGTTGATCGTCAAGCTATTTTAATGTCTCCTAAATCTAATGTTAACAGCTCATATAACAAGACAAAATTATGCTTTTATAATAATTATGCTCAATAAATTGTTTCTTATGGCATGAGGGCATTTATGCAGAAAACGTGATATTACACTTGAGAATAAATATTTAGAGGTTGGACATACTCAAATGCTAGTGGATTCCATGCATGCCATCATAGAACGTTGTGTAAATCGAGTAAGGCTAATCGTCCCTGCAGATTATCCATACCACTTCAAAAAAAAACAGAAAAAATCCTAAGCCCTTCGAGGTAATGTACTTAGATCACTCTTTCTCCCGATTAATCAAAAAAGTTAGGAGCTGCTAGAAGTTTTTGACCAGGGAATAAGCTAGGAGAACCAAAAGTAATAAAAACATTTAAATTATATGAGTGCTTGGTATATTTAATTGTTTAATTTCTATTTGTAGGTAACTGATATTCGGGGCCTAAAATATACACCAGTAGGGGACATCTATTATAAACTTCGGTTGTCTGATGAATGAAAATTACTTTCGCAAAGAAAATCTCAAATTGACATTATTGCCTGGACAGTGTTGGACCATCTGTATAAAGATAAAATTCCAATATCTGCGCGAAAATATTCCGACCTTCAAGAAATTAACTGTACTATTCCAGGAGACTATCACCATTTTTATAATAATTTGCCACACCTGTGAATTTGTAGATGTTTTAGTTTAGATGTTTTGATCATTAAGAGTACACTAAAATAAATACCTATTCTACTAAAAATAAAAGTTGCTAACTCCAAAATTCCTTATTTTCTATTCAAATGAACAACTGCCAACTCCAGTTATTGTCCATAAAATCTAATACTTTAATTTTTACCACATCTATTTCTTGTTAACACATTGAAAATATCATCAAAAATATTCTTCTTTGATAGCGGCTTGTTTAAATGCACACCATTGTTGTAAAATCGTTTTTTATTCCTCCTATAAACCTCACAAAAAGAAGTTAGCAGTTTAACGTATTTAGCCGACGATATGCATCCGAGTTTGCAGGTTGACATCCTCCAAAAGCAAAGGCAAATGCTCTATAAAAAAATTCAAGTATTCTGTACTTGTTAATCTGTTGTAGAAAAAGAAAGGCCAGATAATTTGTCTGCCAATAACTCTTCCCCAAAACTTCAAGCTCCATTTATTTTGGAAATCTTTTTGTCTAACCCAGTAAGAGTTTTCCGTCGCATAATAGTGCATGTTATGCCTGTTGACAACCTTTATGCTGTTAAAAGTTGCCTCATCGCTAAAAAGAACCTTATCCAGGAAAGTAGTGTCTTCACTCACTTTATTTAGCATTATTCTACTAAACTCCATTCGAACTGCGAAATCCTGAGGACGAAGGAATTGATGCAAGCATAGGTGATATGGATGGTACCTATGCTTGTGAATAATCCTTTGGACAGAAGTTCTACATATATCAGTTTCTGCTCCAATTTGCCGTGCACTTAAATGGGGATTTTCCTGCAACTTTAATAGAACCTCCAACTGATTCGCCTCTTGGGTGACATTTTTATTATTTATACCTTTTTTACTATATTCCACTGCTCCACTTGATTCAAAACGTCCTTCTTTCTTTGGACTTCGCTCAAAACGAACACCATATTCACCATTAGAAAAATTCATTTTCAAACACGTTCTTGACAGTTTGTAACTCATCAACAATTTATTTGTTTCCAAGGATGATGCGATATTTTAGGAAATTAAGCCGTTCCATAAAAGACATGCTAATAACCGAAAAAATGGCCGTAAAAGCCCTTATGTATCTAGTATCAAAAAAAGCATATACAAAATTTAATCCAAACTTGCACAAATATACAGGCTGATACATTTGAAATGTTTAAAAAAACTACAATTTGCGTTTTATAAGCAAAAATTTAAATTCGAAAAAGTAACAAATAAGATAAAAACTTAGGTAAGCTTTTTTTATACAAAATTCAGCACTCCAAATTTCAAAATGGCGGACTGAGGGACTGCCGAAGTGGGGGTTTTTCTAGACAAGCACCTTATATCTCCGTAGCTAATTACCAAAACCCCATAGTATGTCATCAATTTTCTTCTTTTGAATTGGTTAATCCAAATATTATTGCAAATAAAATTTGAGGCATTCCATTTGAAAAATCACAACATTGATATGTAGGTCGAAATTGGGCCACCCTGTATCATGACCAATATTTTATACATGTGCCCTCAAATGTCATTTATAACATCCCATAAATAGATTTTCCCAAAATGTATTTATTTACGAGTAATATTCAGTCCATACATAGATGGGGCACCCTATATATATATATATATATATATATATATATATATATATATATATATATATATATCTAGAAATACAATCAATTGTTGATTGGGAAATTGGCAAATTCTTTTTTAGTCTTTAGTAAACTCTTTTAACGGTAATCTCGAGATTTCGGCTTCTCTATGGAGCTATTTTCAGGAGCTGAAAACAAAAATATGAAGCTAGCAACTAATATGGGAACGGTTTAAATTATCAGACAACTTACTCGTCGCTGAGGTTGCAGCCAAATGGTGTTCCAAAACGAAAGCGTGGATGAGAGCACTTGTTACAAGTATAAAACCAAAAGGACGGACTTATTGGGTTTATTAATAACGATGGAAACCATCGTTAGGTGTTAACACTATATATTAATACACCCGAACACATTAAAAATTATCGAAAAGCAATTTTGGAGGAAAAAACCGGCAGAGGCCCTTCTAACCCCCTACATCTGTTTCACGTGGGGAAAATGAGCGAACCGGAAGAGTGATGCGTCGACAGATGACAGGTGATTTTCGTGAAGAAATGTGGAAATGTAAACATCATTGCCAAACTTCAGGTTTAGGGTATACTCGGGACGCTCGGTAAAAACTCATCATATTTCGCAAAATGCTGGAAAAAGTGTAATTCATATGAGTGTGCGAGTGTAAGAAGGTGATAGACGCTTGAAAAGATGGGTTGATTGAAAATATATTGAAATTTTTATTACCGTGAGAGCAATGTTTCAATAAAAAGGATAAATAATTGGAATTGTGTTTTAATTTTGGGAGGACGTTAGATCAACTGGTATATGTAGACGTTCCGACTTTTCGCAATTTAACAAGTAATAATAAACGACACTAAGCTGCTTAACATCAGCCTTTTTATTCATGCAATGATCTGTCATGAAAATGTGGGACATTTCTAAAAATAGACGTTTTGAGAGTCTTTTTTTCTTTATCAAGAACCTCAATACTGCCATAATTCATAGAGTGACCTGTGTTGTTGATATGCGACGCCAAAGCACATATTTCTGACGTTATTCTGCCTTTCAGCGACCTAGAAGTTTGGCCTATATAAACTAAATTGCAGTTGTTGCAATTAATACGACAGACAGTATTGGTTGAATCAAGCAACTGAACCTTATCTTTCATTTTGGACAACAAACTGTTGACTGTGAGAACTGATTTACAAGCAAAACGCCAATTAAAGGGATTATACAGCCTGATCAATTTTGGTGTTAGTTCTTTGATGTATGGCAAGACAACATATACTAAGTGACATATAAATCCGAACACCCAGTTTAAATGGTTTAAATGTCTTTCAACAAAAAACTGTGGATTCCTCCTTTCACCACGTCGCCTTCTAACCCTGGCACGACCATCCTGCATGCCTAAACAAAATCGAGACTCATCACTAATAACAATGCTGTTCCATTCCTGATCCCAGAGTGACCGTTGTCTGCACCACTCAAGGCGATTACGTCGGTGTAAGGGTTAGAAGGCGACGTGGTGAAAGGAGGAATCCACAGTTTTTTGTTGAAAGACATGTTCATCACACTGTTGGAGTTATGGTTTGGGGTGCTATAGCTTATGGTTCCAGGTCACCTTTAATCTTCATCAGAGGTAACATGAACGCGCATCGTTATATCCGCGAAGTTCTAGAACCCCATCTTTTACCCTATCTTGACACCCTGGCAGATCCAAATTTCCAACAAGATAATGCCCGACTACATGTTGCAAGAGTCACAATAGACTTCTTTGAACATAATGATGTCACATTGTTACCATGGAAAAGAAAATCTCCCGACTTATCCGCAATTGAGCACGTGTGGGATATGATGGGTAGGAGATTGCTCAATTTGCAACGTCCTCCTCAGACTCTAGAAGCACTTCGAGAGGAGTTGGTGGTTGCCTGGAATGAGATACCACAGGAGGACATTGACCACCTGATCAGAAGCATACCTAGGCGCGTTGGAGAACGCGTAGCACATCAGTGTGCATCCACACATTATTAAAGGTCAAAGGGCTTTAAAGCAGTGCAATCATTTTGAAATTTTTATCATTTACTTATTATGCTTCATTAAGTACTTATACAAAATTTTATTAAAATAAAACCATTTAAACTGGGTGTTCGGATTTATGTGTCACTTAGTATATATACATATATATTTAAGGGTCCCAGCCTATGAGAGCAACCAAATTTTTGTTCGAATTAGGATACGCGTATCCTCTATTTCTTTTCCATTACATAACAACTCAGAAAATACATATTATTGAAACCGGCAAACGACTGTCGGTCAAACTTCGAATTTGAAAGTTAATAGGGAAACCATGTATGAATTTCAAAACCTAATTCTTATTCGACAAATAAAACACTGGTTTATTTGTATCTTATATTTTTTAGACATTTATCATTGAATGAATATTATTTACTAAATTTTCTTATCAAAGTTTTCTTTTTACAGTCAGGCTATGCCAGCCTGTTCTTGTACGCAACGTCCTAAAAACTAGTATTTGAGAATTTATCTCAAAACACTTGTGTTCCGGCCATCACTACTAGCTTATTGAGCAATATACAGGGTTTGTTCAAGAAACATTTTATAGTAAAATTCATCAGTTCACCTTGCCGATATGTATCATAGACCATTCCGAAAGATACATGTTATTTTTATGCGAAAAACAAAGGGTTGTGTTTTTCTTCAAGATTTCATCATACTCTTACGTATACACATATTTAGAGCTGAAATTTTTACACAGTCACAGAGCCTTGAAGTTTATCAAAAAAAGGTATTTCATACTGAAATGCACTGTACTGTTTATAAAGTTAGCATATAAACTGAAGACACAATTATGTTTCAAACTGTCCTAGCCTGGTTAGCTACATTATTCCTGCTGGCATGACTTTTTCATATAAATAGATGACGAAATCCAGTTTATTTACGAAGAAATATAATTCCCTGGACGTTTTTTTCTAAACATATTAATATAGCTCACGTTTATTTTTGAAATCTCGTACGATTAAAACGACTGCGATTTCAAAATATTTGAAAATAAACTCGAGAAAACGAAAACAATAGACAAGTATCAACCAATTGTAGCGAACTGATCGTATCAAAAAAATAGGAAAAATGCTCGGCATTAATCCCTAATGACATTTTTCTCATTGTTTATAGCAGATTTGAGGTGCCGCCAACGTTCGCTTGACATTTGTCAGTGCCAAGTATAGTGGTATAAAGATTCAGTAAACCAAGAGACGGAGGTGCGAATCTACAAAGCTCCCTTTTTTTCTATTAGTTTTATTTAAATTTGATGAATCAAATGCTTTTTCACATTTTGTGTACTTTTATCTTTTAACTTTTCGCATGCCTTAGATAATATACGCTTACAAACAGGAAACCAGCGGTATATGTATGATTTTTAATTCTTTTTTTCATAATACGTTGATAAAATTTCAGAAACACTATGTCGGATCATAGCAGATAGTTTTTGCAAACATATGTAAATGATT